GCTAGAAAGAGAAGAGTGGCCACAGGTCAAAGTGCAGCAGCAAGGAGCAATAGTTCGGAGGAAGCAGAGAGTGAAGGAGGGTAAGTTTCCTTAAGATGTTTCCTGTGTGGAACTCAGGACTGATTACATGAATGCTGCTAATTAAGTATTTTATTATGAGTCATATAGTTGGCTATCATCAAGACATAAAAATGAATGATAACTTGGATTTAGATTATAATTCAAACCATATTTGATATTGGTCAGTATTTAAGGTAGTTTAGACCGCATTGACAAAGCAATGTAAATAGCATGACTAGGACCAGGTAGCATCATGTGAGTACCGAGAAGACAGTCATCCTTGGTTAAAAATATGTAACCTATGTTTGTGGCCATTGTGAGACCCTCCTATATATAAGCCCTCTCTAGACCAGTTCTGTTTAATGGAACTTTCTGTGATGGTGGAAAGATCTACATCTGTGCTATCCAAGCCATCTGTGGCCAGTGTGGACAGGGCTCTGAATAGTTTAGGAAATTGAAGTTTAAAGAACCTCATGAGTTGATGTCCACTGAATAGGACAGGCAGGTTTGGAGAATAGGTCACTGGTTCAGGGTCCTCCTGGCATGGAGTCATCCATTGAAGTCCACCACCAAGAGCATAAAGGCTATACTTTTCTGGGTGGGGAAAACCCCACAGCTTTTTAATGAATGCAGTCATTGTACTTGATGTTTTTGCAGAATCAAATAGGTAAATAAACAAAGGAGCACTCGAGGCATTTCAAACCCGGTGATTTGTTTCGGTATAGATTACTGCTGAAAGCACCCAATGGGACAGTTCTACTCGGGAGCCCATGGGGTCACAGTGAGTCAAGGGCTGATTCCACCGCGGCTAACCACCATGAGTCCATGCAGCTTGAAATGTCTGAGAATGAGTGTGTTTCAAAACTATGCAAAATGTACGATTGTTTATTACCTGCATGGGCCTTCTTTTTCTTTTCCTTCTTGACCTAAGGTATTTTCCTGTTGGTTTTATGTTCATATGATGCCCTCGAGCAAAACAGAGCACTATATTGTTTATTTGAAATGAAAAGGAAATCCCCCAAGTCTCCCTCTGAGAGAGCGCCAGCAGACTTACAAGGCCTAATGCCTATTAACGTAGACAACATCACTTATCAATAATGAAGGATGGGGAGGGGAGGGGAACTGAAGACAAATTCAGGTGCTTGAGCTTTTGCTCAAAAATGTTCCCTTAACTGTTATTTTTATGAGTCAAAATATAGACCTTGCTTTTTGCTCCTTTACGTTTTAATTTTTATTGTAATATTGTTTGCTCTTGTCAAATCAGTTTTCATGATGAGCTTTTGCTTGTGAAGTCTTTGAGGTAAATATAGATTTAGATATACGTTATGTGGTAATTCTGTATTCCTTAATGCTGCAGTAGTCTAGAGTTGTAGCAACAACAAAATGTTGTTTGAGATTTTTGCTCCTTAATAAACTTCACATTTATACTTGAAGGTCCTCTGCTTGCCTTTTCTCAGAAGGCTCTGTTGTCCTCAAGCTGGTATGATTCTTCTCTTGGAACTTTTTAGTTTTTTCTACTGGCGCATGTTCATATAAACAATACATAAATGCCTCCTTTGTTTTGAAAATGTGCCCAAGTGACATTATATAATACATGACATTGCCAATCTGATTTTTGCACTAAATGTGCTTTGGAAACTTTTCCCATGTTGATAAATGTAAATATACTTCATTCTTTTCATTTGCTGTGCTGTGTTTATTGAATGAACATACATATCATGGTTAAATTACCTTTTTTCTCGTATAAGTAATCCTTTATTGCACTTTCTCTTCATAATTCCTAAAGTGCACGTGTAAGAATTTCCTGCAGTCTAAGATGATGATGGTAATTGTCAGATGCTTTTACCTCCCCTCCGACAAGAAAGCCTGAGAAAGCACGTGCATTGGGTATAGGTGACAGCTTTGGGACCCTGAGCATCAAAGGCCAGGCTTGAATTGGGTTGAGTGCAAAGTGGAAGGAGGGATTGTACACAAAGAGTGGACATGGAGAACTACCCATCACCAGTGCCTGGCCAGCTGAGTCTCCACAGTAAAGCCCTATTGAGACAAAGCCAGCAGTGTTCCCAGGCATCATGAGAGCGCTCAGGAAAAAGAAAAAGCAGAACCAATAAGACGAATCTCTGATTAGGTGGCAGAAATGACACAAGCAAGAAGACCAGTGGAATGCTATGTGCAAAGCTTTAAAAGAAAATTGCTAACCAATAATGTTATGTCCAGCAAAATTTTATCTCAAATAAAATGACAGAATTAAGGCATTTCCAGATAAACAAATTGAGGCTATTTATTAAAAAAGTACTTCCACCTTACAAGAAAAATTAAGGAAATCCTTCTGACAGAAAGATTAGAAAACAGTATTAGAAAACAACCTGAGACTAGACCACAGGGCACTATCAGTAGATACTAGTCCAGACAAAGATTTCTCAAAGATAAAACAAAGCAGCTTCAACATGGCAACAACCAAAAGACAAATTATCCAACTGCAAAGTGATGTAAGCAAACACTTCATCAGACAAGATACTCAAGCAGCTAATAGACTCATGAAGAAATGACCCTGAGAGCGAACCATTCCAACACCATTGGGACCATCTGGTGAATTCCAACTCAGTGACCCGATAGGACAGAGTAAAACAATTTCTTAGGATTTCAGAGGCTGTAAATCTTTCCTGCATCTGATAGTCTCATCTCTCTTCGGTAGGGTGGATGGTGGGTTTGAACCACTGACCTCATGGTTAGTGGCCCAACATTTAACTCACTGCACCTCCAGGGCTACTTCATTAGCCATTAGAAAGTTACAAAACAAAGCTACAATAAGATCCCACCTTACTCTAACAAGAATGGCATTCATCAAAGTAACACAAACTAAGAAATGTTGAGGTTGTGGGGAGTTTGGAACTCTAATACATGGCTGGTGGGAATGCAAATGGTACAGCCACTATGGAAAACAGTAGGGTGCTTCCTTAAAGGCTAGAAATAGAAATACCATCTGATCCAGCAATACCACTCCTAGGTAGATGCCCTAAAGAAATAGGAGCCATGACACCAATAGACCTCCAAATACCTATATCAATCCCAGTAGTGTTCACAATAGCAAAAAGGTGGAAATACCCTAAATGTCCATCAACAGCAGAACAGACAAACAAACTGAAATAAGTCTATCACAAAAGGACAAATATTCAACGACACCACTATTATAAAATGTAAGGAAAGCAAAAGGGTTACACACAGGGAGGGAAATGTTTGATGCTTAGTGGGCAAGGGAAAAGAAGGATGGGAAAATTACTAACTGGATAGAAGATATGCTAAATATGGCAAAGAGAAAATGATACACTAAAAGTGGGATATTGGCACAGTACGACCAAGGCAAAGGAAGACCCTGAGAGGTACGCAACATTGGACAACTATAGTGATTGCTGTAACACAGACAATCCTTCAACAATTATATTAACAAACAGTAATTCATAAATGGATCCAGAGGTAGGTAGATATGCTCAAGAGGTATGGGAGGGTGTAAGGAAGCAGACCCACCTGGTGATACAAGTATGGATGTGGATATTTCTACATACACAGTTGTAGACATTTCATCCATATTAATATAAACAACAGAGCGTACCAGGAGTACAGTCATGGAAGCTTCTCAGACCTAACCATGCACCTAATGAGACGACGTTCCTCAGCTCAAGGATGAAGGACTATAGACTCGGGGGATATCAATTGGCATATCATAACTCAAAAAATCAACGTTCTACACCCTACGCTGGTGAGTAGTGTCTGACATCTTTTATGTTTTTGAGTGGCCATTTAAATGACAGCTGCTACTCCCTTCCCACCCAGAGCAAAGGAGCGAGAAGAAAGCCAGAGTCAAGGTAGCAAATCTTGTAGTGCTCGAATGGGCCGTATTGACCACTGCTCATTGCAGGAGCAACAGTTTTCAACGGTGCATCAACAGATACTCAGTTGAAACGAGGCTCTCTACTCCCATAAAGAGTTAGAGTCTCGGCAACTCACAGGGGCAGTTCTACCCTGGCTCTGAGGTTGCTATGAGTTGCAATCAACTCAATGGCAGCAAGTATTTTGTTTCGTTTGTTTCTTAATTAAAGAACCCACCGCCCACCTGACTCAGAGACCAAAAGGAGTCGATGGTGACCAGCTACCATGGCCAACCACCCCGACTGGGATCCCACCAGAAGGTCCTGGATAGAGCAGCAGAAGAATGGAGAACAGACTGTCAAATTCACAAAAAAGACCTCACGTCCTAGTCTGACAGAGACGGAAGGAACTCCCGAGACTGTGCCCTGAGACACCCTTCCTACCTGAAACTAAAGCCATCCCCAGAGACCATCAGTTCCAGGGAATAACAGACGGACCTAAAAACCAAGCTAACACCCATGAGAGATGAGGTCCTCATGAGACATCAAAAGGACAACGTTTCCCCATGAGCAAAGATAGGAAGGGAAGACAGGGTAGAAAACCCAGAAGAAACGAAATGGAAAACACGGGGCAGGCATGCTAGAGGAAATAGAAGCAACGGCCTGGAACATTTTATGTACAAGCTATCAAATGGGAAAGTAATTTACCCTGTAAACGTTCCCCATAAGCACAATAAATATCTTTTAAAAGAATTTCCTGAAGGTACATACTTAAAAACGGAGGAATTGCTGGGTTATAGACTCAATTTAGTATTGTTATGTATTGCTGAATTATTCTTTAAAGTATTTTGACCAATCCACCTCTACGCGGTGCATATGCTATCTTGTTTGCCTACATTGACATTTCTGTTGTCAGACTTTCA